GCAGTCCCTTGGGAATGGTTATAAATATTCATAAAGATGGGAAGGCAGGGCTTACAACAATTTGGATCATGGCTTCAATTTTAGGAGTAGGTGTTCTATTAAAGGCATTTCTTTCTAGTTTCTCTAGGAAATATGTCTGAATGTTTGAAAGCACCCACAAAAGTGAAATTAATTTAGAGGGGGCCCAGGGAGTCCAAGGGACTCTCGGGGAACAGTCTGTTTCATTGCATTTGAAAGATCTTCTAAGGGCCTGGTGCTTCCAACGAGGCTAGAATTTTCTGGTATGGGTATTAGATGCCTGGTGTGAAAAGACGCACGAGCCTGGAGAGGACAACTGACATACGGTCTCTTCAAGAAAAAGAGCGACACCGTTGAGAGCGGCAGTTTTGTGGGAAGTCTTCCGGCCCTGGGTAGCTAGACAGATTTCCTCAGCTGGTGTGCTTGACTTGTCCTGGGCAGGGAAATGGGGAGCCCCTTCCCTGCTCTCTAGCATCGTGCCACCAACTTGAGGGAACTACATGAATGCTTTGGAAATAGCCAGTGCAAGTTGAGTTCAGCAGATGCTTTTTGAGGGCCTACCACGTGCCAAGCCTGGTGCCCACATAGACTGCTTAGTGCTTAGCTATCATGCACTGCTGTGTGGTGTGGACTACATCAGTGGTGGTTTAACACTGTGGATTCCGTGAGAGAACCGAGAGTACTTCAGGAGAAGGTGGGACACACAGGTGAGCCCTGAACCCTGGGTAGGATTTGGGTCACTTGCAGGGGAGAAGAGAGCATTTCAGATCAGCAGAAGGAGGTGTGGGTAGGCTAGCCTGGGGTCTGGCTCCACTGTGTTGGGAAACAGGGTAGGGTAGAATTGAATTTATGGAGTCTGCTGCTTGGATTTGAATGTTGCCACTTAATGGCTTTGTGGTCCAGGGCAAGTTACCTGACCCTCCTGGGTCTGTGCTTTCTCATCTGTGAATGGGGGTATAATGGCACCTACCCCAGAGGGTATTGTGATGACTGCAGGGCACTTGTAGGGTGGAGGAAGGTTGGATGGGAAGGACCTGAGAGACCCTGATAGTGGCTGTGGAGAGCCACTGTCGGCTTTCTGGGCAAGGTAGGCTGTTGAAAGTGCTGTAATAACCACAGAGGAAGGTGAGCCTAGAGGTGACAGCAGTGATTCTGGTGAGATTCTCGGGGGCCTGGATAGCAGGTGTGGTGTGCTGGGGTAGAGAGGAGCCGGGCGGCAAGGACTCACCTTTTCCTGGCTGCTGACTGTGTGGGGTAAACACGAGGCACCCCGGGAGGTGCCGGGTTGCACGAAGTGGGGAGTGGAAGCCGGTATTCATTATATTACTTTGTTCTTTAATGAGTTCAATTTTAAACATTTTGACCATGAAGTGCTGTAGGACTTCCTCAGGGTGGGCAGGGCACTGAGGATGGTTCCTGAAGTCAGGGAGAGCCATGGCAGAAGCAGCAGGAGGTCAGCTAAGTCCACAGACTCAGCTCTGGACCATCTGGAAGCTGGGGCTGGAGGGTGTAGTAAGGACAGGTGGAGGTGAGGGCAGGGCAAGCCTTGGGGTTCCGGGCCTCTCCCTGGGAGACCGAGCATATTCTCACTGTAGTGCCTCTGAGCATTTACAGAGATCTCCTCCTTTGATGGTCCTGTCAGAGGGCAGCGGTGCCCCTGGTAGCTGAGATTTGCCGTTGGTTGTCTGAATTGTTAGAGATAGGTGAGCCTCTCAGCAGAATGTGCAACCAGTGCAGGACAGGAGGTGGCTGGGCCACACCTGCAGTTGCAGTCCCTTCTCTTTTCTTTCCATGGCTTGCTTGAAGTTTAGTTGTTTTGGCTGTGAGTGTCAGTTTAAGATCTACGAATGATTTGAAATACAACAATGTTCTGAGGCTTCAGAAGTCTCTAGATTTTTGGTTCGGAGCTTTACAATGGAAGTTGAGAACAGCAAGAGCCCTGGAGCAGGTGGTGGGAATGAAGGCCAGTTGCCCACCATGTCTTCAACAAGCCTGGGGCCGGGTGGGCAGTTACGCCTTTGTTACATTTGCTGAAGCAGAAGGGTTCTTTTGCTTTCTCTGTGTCTTTTTTTCATTGAGGTGAGTGACTTGATTGCTAAACCAGGAACATGTCTAGGAAGTAAGACTTCCATGGATGTCTTCAGGAGGGGAAACGATGGGTTTTATTGAGCTTCTGAGTCTAGGTCCGTGGTTCCCTGGACACATCCAGTCCTGTGCTCTTGTGACCTTTCCTAATGTCTTTCTTCAGCATTCCTTCTCATCTGCTAAATAACTGTGCTTGTAGGGGGCCAGTAATGAGTTTTAAAAATCAGAGTTTAAAATACACACATTCTGTTTGTCTCTCCTTCCATGTAATTTCCTCCACACTTTCAGCCTCTGCTGTGAAGAGCTTGTGTTGCTCCATCTTGGAGCCGTGCCTCCTCCCAGGGGCTTGAGAATATTTCACTTTAAAGAAGAGGGGCAAAGCGAGCCGGAGAGTTTCTGTGCACTCTTTCCCTGCCTGCTGTGGTGTCTCACGTGTCCTGGTGCTGGTGGAACCGGGAACTGAACTGCCGACCGGGCCCCACCCCCACCCCGTGCCAAGTCCACTCAGCTTGGTGTGGTTTTCTTCACTGTGAAAATGCCCTGTGTGGCTGCCAAGAATCTTAAGTCTCTCAGGGTGTTAAAACAAAAACATATTACACGTACTATGCTAAGAAGCTATACGACAGACCTGGTGTCTGGATTCAGGGAAGGGACAGAGGAGACACTTGTTCCTGCACCAGCTTTCTGATTGCACAGGGTGTTCCTAGGGGTATTAGTGGGGGTTGGATCCCAACAGCGGTAATGTCACCTGGAGCCTCCTGGGGAGCACAGATGCCATCAAAGGGCACTTGGCATCGTGGGCACATGCAGTCTCCAGTTTCCCCATCTGTAAATCAAAGGAGGGGTTGGGATTTTTCCCTGAGGTCATTTCTAGCTTTAGCATTTTCAGGCTCCCAGGCCTCTCATGGTCCATCAGGCCCCAGATTGGAGTTGGGGTCAGGCCACTTACTCCACTAGCTCTCCCTTCTTGGCCTGGCAGGATGGTTTGTGGTTAAGCATGTGGACCAAGTCCCAAGGGTACCTTGAGAGCCTCGTTCTATTTTTTTGTCTGAGACAGAATCTTAAGCTATCACCCTGGGTAGAGTGCCGTGGCATCACAGCTCACAGCAACCTCAAACTCTTGGGCTTAAGTGATTCCTTTGCCTCAGCCTCCCAAGTAGCTGGGACTACAGGTGCCCACCACAACGCCTGGCTATTTTTTTGTTGTTGTTGTTTTGTTTTTTTTGAGACAGGAGCCTCAAGCTGTCCCCCTGGGTAGAATGCCGTGGCATCACAGCTTACAGCAACCTCCAACTCCTGGGCTCAAGCGAATCTCCTGCCTCTGTCTCCCAAGTAGCTGGGACTACAGGCGCCTGCCACAATGCCCGGCTATTTTTTGATTGCAGCCGTCATTGTTGTTTGGCGGGCCGGGCTGGATTCAAACCCACCACCTTGGGTGTACGTGGCTGGCGCCTTAGCCACCTGAGCCACAGGTGCTGAGCCCACCTGGCTATTTTTTTGTTGTCGTTGCCATTGTTACTGTTGTTTTAGCTGGCCTGGGTGGGTTTGAATCCACCAGCCTCAGTGTATGTGGCCCACTCCCTACCCACTGAGCTTTGGGTACTGCCCAAGAGCCTCATTCTTTATCTCTTCACTGGTTTTCAGTCCAGGTGGCTTCACAGCCCTGCTGGAGAGAGCAGGCTCCATGCCAACAGAGCCACGTCTGAGCAGTGGTGACTCACAGGCCTCACCTTTGCCCTGATGCTGCTATCTAGCCAAGCAGCCAACTTTCTGCTGGTGACTTAGATGTACAAAAGAGTGCGTGTGTGCTCACATCCGTGTGAGCTTTGAACCACAAAGTAACATAACCTTTACTCAGGTCCGGGGCAGAGTCTGTTGCCACCTGTCTAGGTGTGAGAAATGGTCAGACTCCCTCCTGCTTGTCTCAGCCTCCAAGGATATGTAAGGACTACAGAGAACATGGAAAGCAAAGCAAAACCCGGAGACATCTCGTCCCTTTGGGTTGGTGGGTCTCCTCTTCTGGGTATAGGGTAAGGGTCAGCCAACTGCCAGGCCAGAGGCTCACCACCTCCCTTGTAAAGTCTGGGACACAGCCACCCTCACATATCATGTGACACTTTGCTGCTAAGAAGGCAGAGCTGTGTCTGGTGACAGACCCTGAAGCCTGCAAAGCCACAAGCATTTATTGTCTGATCCTTTACTGATTTATCTTTTGTTTGTGGCCCCTGGAACAGGAAGTTCTCAAAGAAACGATTCCTACCCAGACTGGGAGGGGCCTTGATGGGGCTTGGGGAGTTTCCTTGATAGGGTTGGGGCTTTCTGTGTTGGTGGAAATCTCAGGAAACTGGGCGTCTGAGGAGGCTTCTCCTGGGACGGCTTGAAGTTGTGTGGATGCTGGGTGGAAACTGGGCTGTGGGCTAGTGAGGGGCCCTGGGGCAAAGGGCGGCACTGTCAGGCTCGGAGTCTCCAGTCTGGGCCTAGTTGTGGAGCTCATGTTAAGCTGGGGCTTGTGTGCGAGTAGTTGGTGGTCCTCAGTGGTCCCACTGAAGGTGGATGTGTATGGAGGGGGCCGGCCACCACCTCTGTGCTATGGTGAAGCATGAGCACAGCACCGCGGGGCGTGGGGGTGGGGGTGGGGGGCTGGGTCTGGCCTGCCATGCAGACCAGCGTGCTGGGACCCTGTCCACGGAGCAGCAGGAATGATCTGTTCCCTGACGTGCTCACTGAGGCCGTTAGGGCTCTTTGGTCAGGGCGGTCACCTGATTTCAGAGCAGGTCAACTTCTGAAGTGAGGGGTGGGGTGGGGAGATGGGAGTCTGAGTGGCCAGCGTGGCATTGCTGGCTTGGGGACCCTGGGCCGTGCCCCTGCCTCTGCTCACCAGCTGGCTTCTGCCCCAGGCTGGCGCCCATGCGACTCTACACACTCTCCAAGCGCCACTTCGTCCTCGTGTTTGTCGTCTTCTTCATCTGTTTTGGGCTCACCGTGTTCGTCGGGATCAGAGGTAAGGGCCAGTTTTTCTTGTTGTTGTTTGAGACAGAGCCTCACTCTGTCACCCTTGGTAGAGTGCTGTGGCATCACAACTCATAGTAACCTCTAATTCTTGGGCTTGAGTGATTCTCTTGCCTCATCCTCCCAAGTAGCTGGGACTACAGGTGCCCACCACAACACCTGGCTATTTTTTGTTGTTGTAGTTGTCATTGTTTAGTTGGCCCAGGCCTGTTTAAACTTGCCAGCCTCAGTGCATGTGGCTGGCACCATAACCAACCACTCTGCTACGGGTGCCCAGTTTTTAATCGTTTAATCACCTTGCTGTTTACAGCTGCCTTGGTGTGTGGCTCTTCATCCCCCCAGCTGGACCTGCTGCTCATGCCAGCCAAGGGGTCCAGTGTGTGTGGGGGTGCTTCCCCTCCCTGAACCCTTGCAAGGAAAGGGATCCCAGCCTTTCCCTCTGTTTCTTCTGAGGGAAGTGCAGTGAGTGGGCCCCGAGTACCCAGGCCACACTCTGTGTGGCACCCAGAGCCCCATCTCAGCATGGTAGCAGGGGGCGCCTTGACCCTGCATCTTTTATTGGCCAAGCAAACATGTCTAACAAGTCACTGCACCAGGGCCCCCTTGTACCATCTCACCCCCTAAACCTCTGCCTAATGGGGGAGAAAGGCCATGTGAAAGTTGTGGGTGGGTACGGGGAGGGACAAAAGCTAAGGGACTTGTTACCACTAGATCTGTCCTATAAGAACTGCTAAAATGAAAGGACACTAGACAGTAACTCGAAGCCGTATGATCTGAGTCAAGGTGAAGTACACGGGCAATCACTTGTCTTATTTAATTTATTTATTTTTTTGAGACAGAGTCTCACTGTGTCACCCTTGGTAGAGTGCCATGGCATTACAGCTCATAGCAACCTCAAACTCTTGGGCTTAAGTGATTCCTTTGCCTCAGCCTCCCAAGTAGCTGGGACTACAGGTGCCCACCACAACGCGCGGCTATTTTTTGTTGTTGTTGTTGCAGTTGTCGTTGTTTAGCAGGCCTGGGCTAGGTTTGAACCCGCCAGCCCTGGTGTATGTGGCCTGTGCCCTAACCACTGAGCTACAGGCACAGAGCCACACTTGTCCTATTTTAATGGTATGTAACTCCACTTTTTGTTTTCTGTGTGATTTAAGAGACTAATATATAAAGATACAACTTTGTTCCAGTTGTGACATTAACAGTTGAAGGGGGGAGATGAATTTATTAATAGAGCAGAGTTTTGAATATTATTGACATTAGGCTAGTTTAAATTCAATTAGAATGTTAAAATTTTAGGATGTTAGAAAAAGTATAAAAAGGCTACGAGGCATATAGAAAACAAATACAGGGAAAACAAAGCGAGAGCCAGGTGCGGTGGCTCATATCTATAATCCCAGCACTATGTGAGCCGAGGTGGGTGATCGCTTCAGCTCGAGAGTTCAAGAGCAAGGCCCTGCCTCTACTAAAAATAGAAAAACTAGCCAGGCATTATGGCAGGTGCCTGTAGTCCCAGCTACTCAGGAGGCTGAGGCAAAAAAAAGACTGCTTTAGCCTAGGAGCTTGAGGTTGCTGTGAGCTGTGATGATGCCAGAGCACTCTACTCAGGGTGACAAAGTGAGACTCTGTCTCACAAAAAAACCCAAAACAAAATGACAGAAGCCCTTCCCAATCTGTAATTAACTTTAAATGTAAATAGATTAAATTCTCCAGTTGAAAAACAGACTGGGAGAATAGATTTTTAAAAAGACAACCTATGATGCTATGCTGTCTGCAAGAGACTCTAACATCCAAAGACACAGATAGATTGAAGTGAAAGAATGGAAGAGGATATTCCATGCACTTAGCATTATAGAGCAGTTTCACTAGTTTGCATATCTGTGCTTTCAGGAAAAGCTGTATGCTTTTATTCTTATATTGGCATATATTATGCTTCTTTGTACTCCTATTTAATAAATGTTTTTGGAAGACTTGATTAATTGGATGAATAGGTGCGTGTCTTAGTTTTTTAGTAGAAGTCTTTATATGTTACAAACACATAGACACTGTCTGTGTAGTTGATATTTCTTTGGGCCCTGTAGAGAACGCTCTCACTGAGGGGACAGAGAGGCTTCCCGTGGAAATCCTGTAGGTTGTGTGTTTGTGTTACGGGGTGACCTGCGTTGGGAAGTCACGATGCACAGCAGAGTGGATAGTCTGTGTGTATTTTTGTTTTACTTATATACATAAAGTCCCTAAAGTAGGACCAGGTAAATAAGACCACCTCCCTGGAATATATGGGTCTTTCTTGGCATTTGAAAAAAAGATTGACAAATTGTCAATGTAGTTATAACCTGTTTTTTTTCTTCTTTTCTCTGTTATACTTTAGGACCCAAAGTGATCCAGACTTCTGCAGCTAATTTTTCACTAAATAACAGCAAAAAGGTAAGACTGGGTCCAGTGGCAGCTGGGGGCATTGTGACCTTCCAGGTCACTGAGACCTGGGCCTGCGTAGAGGGTCTTTAACATGGACTGCCCTTACCCTGCAGTGTGCTTCTCAGGGAACCACGCTGCTCTTTCCCCTGTCAGCTGCGGCCCCTGACAGTGGCCCTTTGTTTGCTAAAGTACCTTTTCTGCTTTAGAAGACCTCAGTACTTACTGGGGGGGGGGTGGTGGCACCTCAGGGGGCAGCAGTTCATTTCCAAGTGGTGTTTAACTCATACCAGTTCCTTGCATCTTATAAATCCCATTAGATTATAGCTATTAACAATGATCACTTAGGTATCTCTTTGTTAATATTATCTATTTGCCCAAGTTAAGACAAGGTCAGGTTTCTAGCAGTAATTATTTAGTATTTCTTGCATGAATTCAGTTTAAATGAAAGCTCCTTCTTTTTTTATTTTTTAAATGTCCCTGACTCTTTATTGTATTTAAAGAAAAACAGAGGTCATTTCAGTTGGAGAATTTTGGTTTTCTGGGATAAATACTAACTTGTACAAGCTCAAACAACTAAACTGTTTTATCTTTCTGTGTCTGACACATAACATCTTTATAAGCTGAGCAGAATTGTTCTGCACCCTCGTGGCACCAGAGCATGTGTAGTTTACATCTGATTCTGTGACCCCCAAAGTCCTCCTCCTCTCTCTTCTCTCACTTCCCTTACAGTTTTTCGAAAAGGCAAAAGAAAAATATCCTAAAACTTAGGTAATTTTTTTTTTTTTTTTTTTGCTGAGGCTGGGTTTGAACCTGCCACCTCCGGCATATGGGGCCAGCGCCCTACTCCTTGAGCCACAGGTGCTGCCCGGTAAATCTTTTAACTCTTCTTTGGTTTGGAAGGGTCCTCTATTTAACCTGTCTTCACATTTTCTTTACATTCCTTTATTTTTTATAACTCTTAGGCTGATGGTCTGATTTGAAGAAGTGCCATCATGGGGTTAGTCTTTTAAAATTTCTGTCTCTCAGGATGTGAGACTCTTTTTAATACTGAAAATAACAGACTTGCTTCCAAGAGACCATTCTCACTTCAGAAAGACAGTAAATTATCCTTTGATGGATTTTATTGCATTGATGGCTTTTAGGCCAATCTTTGCCCTTAGGGAGTTTCCCTGAGACCCTGTTAGAAGTATCACCTCACACCTATAATTCTAACACTTTGGGAGGCTGAGGTGGGAGTTTTGCTTGAAGCTGGGAATTTGAGGTCAGCCTGGGAAATATAGTGAAACCCTGTCTCTACAGGAAAATTTAAAAATTAGCTGGTTGTGGTGGCATGAACCTGGAGTCTAGCTGCTTGGGAGGCTGAGCCAGGAGGATCACTTGAGCCCAGGAATTTGATTTTACAGAGAGCTGTGATCATGCTATTGCACACCAGACTGGTTGCAGAACCCATATTTTAAAAAAAAAATACCCTATATACAACATTCATGTGCAAGGATGACACATTCAAATATTGCTTCTCTTCAGAACCGTGACGGACTCCTTAAACAACTCTCTCTGTACCCTACAACTGTTACACGCCAGTCTCATCAAATAGCAACATGCCTGGCACACTGATACTGAACGATCAGTGAGACACATTATCTTGTAAATATGAAAGTCTCTCTTTGGTGCCCTTATTGTCCCGTTGTGTGTCTCATCTCTGCACTTTCCTTATTGTTTCTTCAAGTGCCTTTTCCTTGGTATTTGAGTGAGTTGAGTGCCCCAACCTTGTTTTGCTAAATGTAAATTTCGTATGTTAAGATATAGTGTTTGGTAGATTCACTTAAAAGGTCACATGGATTACTGAACTTCTTTTTTCCTTCAGCTAAAGCCAATTCAAATACTTTCAAATCCACTGTCTACATATAATCAGCAACTGTGGCTGACATGTGTGGTTGAGTTGGATCATCAATCAAAAGGTATGAACTTGACATTTTGGGATGATTTTTCTTTGAACAAAGTACCATGATTTAGAGGTTGAAAGGACTTTAAAATATTTGGACAAGTGATCACAGATCGATGTATAAAGACATACATGCATTATTATTTATAATAGCAACAAATTGGATGCCCCTTAAATGTCTTCCAGTGGGAGGGGAAGGTTTTGGTACAGCCTCTGTAATGTCAGCTTAGTGGGTGCTGTAGCCTCCAGCCTTGTGCAGTGGGGATCTGGGAGAGAATGGAGTTCTGGTGCCCTGCAGTGGGGGTGGTGGTGGTCGTAGTAGTAGTAGTGACAATTTTGTTGAAACTGAGGAGAGGGTGCTACTAGCATCTAACGGGTAGAGGCCAGGGATGCAGCTCCACATCCCACATTGCACAGGACAGACCCCACAGCCAGGAATTATCTGGCCCCACCTCAGATACCTGCCCTAAGGCATCTGTTGTTTATAATGAATTAGCTTCAGTTCATCTCAAGTGGCATAAATTTATGCCATCTAGGGGAGAATAGAGCTAGTTTTTATGTTCTCTGCTTCAGATGAGGTACCCTATTTGAGAAAGAATTTGAAAAGATAACCTCATGACCACAGTAAATAAAGTGAAAAACAATGCATAGTACAAAAAACTTAGCCCCTTTTGGTTATATTTTCAAAAGTAAAAATAGGGTGATGCCTGTGGCTCAGAGGAGTAAGTCACCGGCTTCATATGCCAGAGGTGGGGGGTTCAAACCCAGCCCCGGCCAAAAACTGCCAAAAAAAAAAAAAAAGTAAAAATAAATTTTGGATCACTATATATTCATTTTTCTAGGAAATGATCTGCAAAAGACAAAAGACACAGAAATATGAATTATAGTTATCTGTAGGGGGTGAGATTTATAAGTATTTCATGCCATCTTTATATTTTTAAATTCAGGTTTTTTAAATAACGAGAATATAATTGGAAAAATAAATTATGTTGTGAGAAAAATGAAGAAGCTATTTCTAATTTGATAAAAAGTTAAATTTAAAAATTTACATGGGAAATTAAAATATAGTTTCAGTTCCCATGAAAGATTTACCCTTTGGTGAAATGAAACTGATGGGTCTGAAATGTGGATTTTGACGTAGGCCCCTGAGTCCTGGGTTGAAGCAGAAGCTAAGGGAAAGCTTCGCCTTGCTGGGCAAATGTGAGATTTCCAAATATGCTGAGGCCGATGTGGCCTGAGAACATCATGGCCATGGCAGAGCCAGGCAAGTGCCTTTGCAGCTGTGAAAGGCCTGGCGTGGTCTCCGACGCTGAGGTTTTTCTTTTGTAGAAACTTCTATTCAGACAAGCTTTCCCATGACCGTTAAAGTCGATGGTGTAGCTCAAGATGGGACCACAAAGTACGTTCACAACAAAGTTCACAACCGGACGCGGACCCTCACATGTGCAGGGGTGGTGAGTGTGTTTGCTCCACGATCGGTCATCAGGCTGCACGCAGTCTTACAGACTTGCTTTTCTGAAGTAAAAGGTATAGCATAGTAAGAAGCTTTGAAAAATTGCTCTTAAGTAAAAAGATGGAGTCATACCAAAGATGCTGGGAAAAACTTAATTTTATACACTGATACTCCCATAAAAATTCTTGAAAACTTACACACACACATATGTACACATATACATGTGCACACAGATAGCCCCACATGCCCTGAGCATCTTTGACACCTTATTTTATTGTTTGTGTAACTTACTGCTGGGGTGCCCACAGATGAATGTGTACGGGCTGCCCAGCTCATGGGAAGGTCAGCCACTGTTCCACAGTCATTCTTGATCACTGGGTCTTGGGCTGTTCCTGGCTGTGTGAAGAATACCCTGATGTGTCTGTCGGGGACAGAGACCCACTCACAGAGGCCTCTTGGGGTCAGTGGCCTACTTTTCTGAGTATTTCTTTCGGGGTGAGGTGTGTGTGGGAATGAGCCCTCAGTCTGGATTTCACTGGTACCGTACTTTGTTCAGAATATAAAGAACCAGAACCAGATTCCTCCTCTAGCAAGGAGTCCGTCTGAGTGCGGAGCAGGCTGTGGCAGCATAGAGAACGTGGAGAACATCAGGAAAAGGGCAGTGCCTTTGGTTGTGGTTTAGAGACGTAATTTAAATGCCAGCTAGCAAGTAAGTTCTCTGCTAAGCAAGTGCCATGTATGCCCCTTATGTTGTCTCATTAAATCCTCCTGCAGGCCCATGAAGGAGAAACCAGTACTAGAGCCCCATTTTATGCAAGAAGAAACTGAGGCTTAGAGGGTCAAAATCATTGCCCAGAGTAACACAGAAAGTAAGTGGGGGGGCCAGGACTTAAGTCCATGAATTGCCCAGTTACCAGCAGCAGAAATATAAGCCTCATTTATCCTGGAAGAAAGAACTCAGGTTGGGAGGACCCCTGCGCTTTCTGTGGTCCCTGCTTGTTGAGGCCTAAAGGAAGAGGTTGCCGTGGGTCAGAAGCCCGGCAGGAGGGCACAGCATTGTTGGGACCGTGTGCAGAGCCCTCCCAGTGCCTGCTGCCCCTTCCTCAGCAGCCTTGACCACTGTGCCTATTCTGGGCGAAGTGGGTCTAGGGAAGGCACCAGATGTGACTGGCCTCTTATCCTGCCTGCCACCTCTCACCTGTGAGAGCAGGGGTAAGCTGGCTTCTGAAGTGTGTTTCCAGGTTTTGTCATCTGTAGGGCGGGGAGCAAGCCTTCCCCTCCCGTCTTAGCAGGGTAGCAAGTCTTGAGGTGACTGATGTGTGTGAGGGTGTATGGTGTTTTCCAGCACGAGGCGCCCACACGTTCCCCACTGTGCCTGTGGCAGGAGTGTCCAGCTCCATCAGCTCTGCTGGACAACTGGGTGGATGACAGATGCATCTTAGCAGCCACTGTCCTCCTGTGCCCAGAGGGCAGCAGATCCCACCTCCAGCCCCCCTTGCCGCTCTTCAGACTGAGGGCTGGGGCCAGCTGGTCTGTGCCTGCTGGTCTGTGCCTGCTGGTCCAAAACCTGGTGGACTCATCCTAGTTGGCTCGCACTGAGATGCTTCCCAGCACGCTGGACATTCAGTTTTAACTGGGACGAGCCGCTCACGCTGCCTGGTGCCGTAGGGCCAGGCTTCCGAGCAGCCGCTCGTCTAATAGACTCCTGCTTCTTGGCTGAGCTGGCCATGCCATGTTCTGTGACCTCAGTGCATTACCGTGTCTCCGGGCTCTCCTAGTCCTTACCCTCCTTGGGAATATCTTTCTTCTGATCTCTGTCCTCTCACATCTCCCCCTAAGTCTGCAAGGAGCATTGCCCTGGCTTAAAAAAACACAGGATTTCCGTATCTCAGATATTTACCACCCTCTTACATTACTTCTTTTTTCTGATGTAAAAATAAAAACAGTGCCTGCTTTAGGTCGCAGTCATGTACACCTTGCAGGTGAGAAGGCTGTGGCGCCATCAGGAGGTGGTTTTCAGAGGTGCATCGTAATCGGCAGCAGAACTGTCTTGACCTTGGGACACTCAAGTCCTAAGGTGCTTTCACCATAGTGTTTTTAAACATACCGGTATATGCTGCTTGAGATGCAACTCTTTTTGTTAAAATATCCTATGAAATTTGAGATAAATTCTTATAAGAAGTGTTTCTCTATCCAACAAAAATATATTAACTAGTGATAAGCCATCCATTCTTGATTGTACATGTCCTTAGCCACCCCTGTGTCTGGAGAGGAATGGTGAGGTTAGTTTCACTGAGAAGGCGGCCAGAGGGCAGGTGGGGAGTGCAGGTGTGGGAAGCTGATCAGGTGGAAAGGAAACCACAGCACTAAGGGGATGAGAGATAGCGGTGACCTCCCATGTGTTTCCATGGGAGAGTGGAGGTGGGGTGAAAGGCTAGAGGGCTGATCCTTCTGGCTGAGCACTATGGGAGGCACAAGTCCTGGCTGCCAGCTGGCTGGGATCTTGGAGATTTGAGGCAGTGACCTCTGTGCCACCTCAGCCCACTGCACACGCCTCCTCTCTGCCTTCTCTCCCATCCCTCAGGTCAGCTCCCCCACATTACCCAGCCTGCTCCCCACCAGTTGCCCTCTTGTACTTTTAAGGCTTCGTCTGTAAAACCCAGGTCTGTTTCCTTACCTGACTTCAGACACATGCAGCTTGGGGAGCCTTGGCCAACCACTGGACCAAGTCCTGTTCAGAGCTGTGGTCACAATTGTGTCAGAGAAGCCAGAGAGCTTCTCATGTACTGTGGGCAGTGGCTGTACTGTCATACAGTGCAAGGAAAGCATGTCCACTCTGAAGGTGGAGTGACATGTGCGGGGGCAGGGCTGGGGCAGAGCCACACGTGGGCCGCCCTGCAGCTCCATGTGGGGCCCTGAATAGAGCTTCCTCGCATGAAGCCCCTCCATCTCCAGGGTGCTAAACCAAGCAGAAGAGACCTGACACTTAATTCCAAAGGACAAAAGACAGCAGAGCACATCCCCCACAAGATCACACTTACTGCTGTCCACACAGCCTTTGCTGGGAAGGGAGAAAGGAAAGTATGTAATTTACTCTGGGTGTCGTTATGATGGCTGCAGATGTGGGCCAAGGAGGACACGCTAGGCAGAGGTGTCTGGTGATGTTTCTTAGCTTATGTCCTTCCCAACACTTGGCATATTTATGGAAATGTCAGGCTTGTGTTACACTGTTAACTTCTTTATGCAGGTGACATGTTATTTTTAATCATCCCAAATAAGAAGATTCTAATTGCTGTAAATCTTGTACTGTTTCCAAAAATACCCATTTGGTTCTTTCTTTTCAGGAACTGTTTTTGGCTGGTATCTGACTTTTTCTGGGCTTTTGGCTAGTTCCCTGGAGATGATGAGTCCTGCTCATCTGTTGTTGAAATATGTCACTTCATGGGTCAGTTGGTGAGAGAGTGAGTCTTGCTGCTTTAAAGATACAGATCTTCCTGTGTATTTGCAGAAATGTGCAGAAATTATTGTGGCTCACCTTGGCTACTTGAATTACACGAGGTACACAGTGACTGTGGGATTTGAACACCTGGAGCATTCCATCAAGGAAATGAACTTCACGGTAAGTGTATCAGCTGACTGCAGATGTCTCCAGGGCTCATTTCTTAGCTCTTGTTCTTTTGCTGAGTGATAGGAATACATCCCAGCGTCTAAATGTTCTTTCGTGTTCTCTCAAGTTTTGAGAACTCTTTAGGTGTTCTGAGATTGAGAAGAGTGAGGGTCTAGCATGTTCCAGTTGGGGACAGCTGAGGGCCGTCAGCACCCCCTCCCCTGAACACGAACTTCCTTCCGCAGCTGTCAGGAGAGGCCTTCAGACCTGCAGAGTCTCCTGGGAGGGGCCCCTGCTGTAATTCTTAGACAGTCATTTTTTTTGTTCAACTGAACTCTACGTCCTGTCCCCTTCACTCCTTCAGCGTCAATATAGCTCAGGGTGAGGGTTTTAGATTAGATGGATGAGCTGGGTTGGAATCCTGGCTCCATCATTTACTAGTTTGACTTTGTTGAACCTTAGTTTCCTATCTATAAATAGCTACCTGTGGAGTTGGGAATATTTAATGAAGATACTAAGTTACAAAGAAAACAGCTCTGCACATCTGTATAAATCTGTGTGGATGTATGCTTTCATTTCTCAAGGGTCAGTGTTAGAAGTGGAATGGCTGGGTCATGTGGTTCAGACGCCCACAGGCCATTTTCCCAAGTGGCTGTGTTCTTTTGAGTTATCACCAGTAGGGTGTGGGGTGTCGCTGATGTCCTAGTCAGAGCTTGTATGCTCAGTCTTCAACTCTGGCTCTTCTGGTAGGTGTGTGTCAGGATGGCATTGTGCTTTGAAAATGCTGGTGACTGTCTTCTGGCTTGCCTTCTGATGGGACATCTCTATTGTCCTCTTCTTTGTCTTCTATCATAACAGCCCTCCTCTCCCCCACCTCATTTTCCTCTAAGATTTTCCTTTTTTACTAATGTAAGCAATTTGATTATGGTAGTTTTGTGCCTTTTTTTGTGCTTGGGGTCCATTGAGCTTCTTGGATTTGTGAGCTTATAGTCTTGATCAAATTTGGAAAAGTTCTGGCCATTATTTTTTCAAATACTTTCAAATACTTGTTCTGTCTTCCTGCTCCACCCCACCCCCCAACTTCAGGGACTCCACATATGTGTCTGTCAGGCCACTTGTCCCAGCTCACTGGGGCTCTGTGTGTTTCTTAACCATGTCTTGGCAGTCACCTGTCTGCCGTGTCCTATCTGCTGCTCGCCTTCCGGGTCTCTGTTGAATGTACAAGTCTTTCTTTCTTTTTTTTCTTTCTTTCTTTTTCGAGACAGAATCTCACCTTTGGTAGAGTGCTGTGGTGTCATAGCTCACAGCACCCTTAAACTCTTGGGCTTAAGCAATTCTCTTGCTTCAGCCTCCCAAGTAAGCTGGGCCTACAGGTGCTCACCACAATGCCCGGCTATTTTTTGGTTGCAGTTGTCATTGTTTAGCAGGCCCGGGCCAGGTTCGAACCTGCCACCTTCGGTGTATGTGGCTGGTGCCCTACTTACTGAGCTATAGGCGCCGAGCCAACATACAAGTCTTTCATGTGTTCTCAGTGTCCTTGTCTGCTAATTCTGTCCTCTTTCATTTTGGGCCAGTTTTGATTGGTTAGCTTTTTTCCTCATTACGTTTTCTTTTCTTCGTATTTGTTACACTGCTGGCATTGTGAATGTTCTTGCCCTCTCTGTCTAGATGCTATGAAGTGACTCAGACATGGTGTGTGGGTTCCAGGCCTTGCTTTCTGACGCTGCTGGGTGGGGGTGCGTCTAAGGCTGATGTTTCCCACCCCTGACGCAGGAGCATTTGGCGCTATCTGCTGCATTTGATTGTGAGGTTTTTTTTTCTCTTGTGGAAATAGACCCCATTCCCATTCCTGGCCCCGTGGGTGATGGGCACAGGCCCTGGGTAGTTACTCCCCCTGTGTGCTAGGCGGAATTCAGTGAGATGTAAGGTGGCTGCCCTGGTGGGCGGCAGGGCTCTCTCTGCACAGCTCTGTCTTGTATATGGCTCAAGGCCTCCTGCGTCTCCCTGGATGCTTGGCTTCCATCATGGATAATTATTGCTCGGTTGCCCCTCAGATCCAGTGTCTCAGACACTCATGTGTGTCTATCTACATGTGTATTTTCTGATGTTTTGGATGAATCTAGTGTCTGTCCTGAAGTGATTTCAAAAATTGCTCAAATGATTTTAATACAATGCATTGAAATGCTGGGACTCTTTGGCCCAGTGCAGGGCAGGGCTCTGGGGCTCCAGGTATGAGTCTAGCTCAAGACCACTGTTGAAGGGCAGCCTGCCTCTGCCCCGCTGTTGGCATGGGGCCTGTGTCCTTGGCTCCATCAGGAGCATGCGTGGCACGCCTGGAACTGCTCAGGCATCATGAGGACTGCGTACTTGACTTGCAATTTACTTTCCTGGTCTTGAATTCATGTTCATATGTTTTACTTAAACTTTTTTAGAATATACTACTCAACATTTTTGCATCTTTTAAGACTGTTTCTTTTAATGGAAAGTGTGGCTTTTTCTAATAAAGAGATTGACAAGGTTGATTATTGATATGAGATTTATCTAATTTTGATTATAGAATAATTTATCTGTCAGATTCATATTAGTATAACACCATGTAAAACTGTTTTTAGTTTTTGATAGTTAAGATTTTTTAATGTTTGTGTTCTTTAACATTAAAGCAAACTGTTAAAAGCAAAGTGTTAAAATTTTGGAACATGTAGGAAAGTATAAGTAAAAGAACTTTTAAAATACTTAGAGTCTCATGTCTAGAGATAACTATTATTAAAAATCTGGTGTGTTTCCTCTTAGATGCATATGCATTTTTCAAATAATTTTCCCTGCTTCCTATTTTAGTGGAAGACTTATGACCCTGCATTTTCCCGGCTGGAAATTTGGTTCCGATTTGTCTTTGTAGTACTGACCTTCATTGTCACCGTGAGTATGATTCACCTGTCAGCCTGGCACAGCCACAGCTAGGACGAAGCTAGTCTGCATAAGTACAGTCCTCAGAGTGGGAGCTACATGGAGTTTTCTCCAAACTCAGAGACGCTGCATCCACTGGGCTCTCCTGATAGCATTCTACATTCTGTGGGTCTACTGAGATGCTTTAGTGCAAAAACGAGCAATGTGGTATATCATTTAGTAAGGACTGCTGGGCAGTGTCATGGTCATTACCCGTCACTGACTGGATTCAGTTTTCACTGGTGTACAGTGGAAAATGCCATCTCCAGGGAGGAATTCTGCCTTATCTGAATGACCTTCTTTTGGTGCAAATCAGGCACACCTTAAGGTTTATATCTGGAGAATTGTACTGAACCTTTTAGTCTTGGTGCCAGAGAGGAGTGGTTTGGGAAATGCAGGCTTCTGGCTCGTGTGGGATCTGAGGTTTGTGTCCACAGGCACTCAGTAACTTTGTGGGGCAGTGCTTACCTTAGAAATGTGAGCAAGTCCACGGGAGTCCATGAGCACTGATAAACTGGACAAAGAGGAAGTGGGTTTCATTTAGTGACTTTTGGCCTATCTGAATTGTGGTGTTCTATACCCATTTGCTCCTTGGCCCTCCAGTGCTGACATGACAGGGAGAGTATGACATTGAGATGTGTCTGCTCTTTGCCATGGTGGCCACTCCAGTTCCATCTAAGAAACACTTGCAGAAGGACACAGGTGTGTGGTGGACAAGTCAGGACACAGGTGGGTGCTAGAGGCAGGAGGTGTTTAGGCTGAGCCCAGGGTCTCAGGAACCCGGGACACTGCCTGGGGAGCTGGCATGCCTGTCTTTGGCAGTCAGAAATTCTTGCTGCTTCTCAGAGGCTCTTTGGGGCCTGGGAGTCTGCTGTGACACTTGGGCAGAGAGCTGGTATTCAATGCCTAAGTATGATTTTAAAAAAGAGAAACTGGCCTGACCCTTGTCATATTAATTGAGTTGGGGAAAATGGTCCACAGGCCAGGAGATAGAAAAAAATTATTTCTAGATGCCCAGAAAATTATTGGCTTATGTTAGATTACAGAAAAACAAGCAAAATGACAAAAATGAAAACTTAAAATTGTTAAGTTTTATATATACTGTTTTAAAGCAGCTTAAAGAACCTTCTCCCATGAGCCCAGCATACCTTCTTTTTTTTTTTTTTTTTGCAGTATTTTTGGTCAGGGACCCGGTTTGAACCTGACACCTCTGGTATATGGGGCTGGCGCCCCACTCCTTGAGCCACAGGCACCACCCCCAGCACACCTTCTTTAGGGAGGTGTGTATAAACACCTCCTCTAACCATGGGTATAAGCCCCATAACCTTGGTTTGTCATCAGGGAGCCCTGGTGCCCCCTTAGAAGCTGGTGCCATTTGTGAAAATTGCCCTATGTGTGACCACTCACAGCATCCACAGATTGGGGCCCATTCCCTGACTGAGTCCTGGGTCCTGGCTATCTGGGGCAGCCCTGGAGAGCAGCCTGCTCTGGGGGGATAGAGAGGTGCTCTCCTTCTGTGTGGCTGTTGTGTTCCCCTTCTCTTCTCCTCCTGTGAGAGCAGCTCTTACCTGTGGCCCCTCTGCAGCAAGTGACCATCGTACATCAGTTGTCACTGCTAGCTTGTGGGGTTGACTCAGCAGACTTAGCTGGCATCTTGGTCTCTGAGGTGGGAGGAGCCCTTGCTGGGGCAGCAGGGTGTGAGCAGAGGCAGTGACTGCTGGTTTGGTTTACAGTGCCTGTTTGCACATTCCCTCCGGAAGTTCTCCATGAGGGACTGGGGGATCGAGCAGAAGTGGATGTCTATTCTTTTGCCTCTGCTGCTGCTGTACAATGGTAGGTCCCCTTTTTATGTTGAAACCATTTTCTTTTACGATGTAAAGCTGGAAGACATCCTGGAGGTGGCCTGGGCCCAGAGTCCCCAGCAGGGCCTGGGGCCCCGGGAGGAGCGTGTAGCAGCGTGCTCTCTGGGAGCCGTGTTCCCCAAGCTGGGGCAGATGTCTGCCTCGTTCACAAACAGGCGGCTGTTGGGTAGTTAAGACTTGGACGAGCTACAGTCACAGCAGTCCTGGGTCTTGGCGGAGCTGGCCAGGTGCGGCTGGCTGTTTTCTCTCCCTGCTCCAGAAAGCACTTGCTTCCTGAGCTCCCAGGCCTCCGGGAGGAGCTGATGGCAGCGCAGACGGTGCTCTGTCATGATCCGTGCAGCAATCTGTTCCCTGGCTTTTAGGTGTTTTAAAAAACAAAGTAGCCTTTGGTTTGTTGCCTTCCCTTTGGCACTGACTGGGGAGAAACCGATACCGAGTCTGAGCTCACAGAGGGATGGGGTGCTCTATGCGGGTGCCCCGTTTCCCTCACACACTTCTGCCTTGTGCCTTGCAGACCCCTTCTTCCCCCTATCCTTTCTGGTGAACAGCTGGCTCCCGGGCATGCTGGATGACCTCTTCCAATCTGTGTTCCTGTGCGCCTTGCTGCTCTTCTGGCTGTGCGTGTACCATGGGATACGTGTTCAGGTGAGCGGCAGCCGCAGCACCACCAGGAGGCTAAAGGCTCAGCCTTCACTTCCAGACCTGCTGATGAAAACCTGTCTCAGACTCCTACTCAGTGAAGAAGGGAAATAGAGCAATAATTTGGACATCTGTGATCTTGATAGAATTAGGTTTTCTTTATTTCTTACTTTTTTTTCTTTTTTAGGGAGAAAGAAAGTGTTTAACTTTCTATTTGCCTAAATTCTTCATTGTTGGACTGCTGTGGCTGGCTTCTGTTACACTAGGAATATGGCAAACGTGAGTAGTCTCGTGTTGAAACTTCAGTCGGGAAAACCTTTGACAAAGGTGAAAGACCCAGGGTCTAACTGTATTTTGTGAACTCATCCAGAAAAGAATCGTCTCTCAGTGTTTCAATCTTAGTTGTCCAGTGCCCCCCCCATACTTGGGGGATATGTTCCAAGACCCCCAGTGGATACCTGAAACCTTGGATAATAGCAAGGGGTATGTTTCCTGACTGTTTTTCCTGTACACACATACTTGTGATAAAGATCACAAGGATAAAGATGTACACATTAGGCACAGTAAGAGAACAACAATAATAACTAATGATGAAATAGAACAACTATAACAATATACTGTAATAAAAGTTACGTGACGGGGCCCTTCTCACAATATCTCATTGTACTATACTCACAGTTCTTGTAACGATGTGAGATGATAAAATGAGATGAAGTGAGGGGAATGGCATAGGCATTGTGACAAGTCAGTGGGCTATGATTGGGCTTCTGATTGCACATCTGGGAAGGATGACTTGCTTTGGGTGACCCCAGGTTATCCAGCCATGATGATGGCCGCACTGCAGGATGAGGAGTGTGATGGGTGGGTGGAGACACTGAACGGGGGTTCACGTCCCAGCATAGTGACAGTGGGGCGGTGCAGGATGCCTTTATGCTACTTGGAACAGTGTGTAATTTAAAACTTATGAAATGTTTACTTCTGGAATTTTTCATGTGATGGTGGGTAACTGACACTACAGAAAGCGAGATTATAGCCGAGGGGTGCTGCTGTGTGACTGTGCTGAGCAGTTCATTTCTGTTTGAGTGGCGTGTAGAGAATCCACAGTTCCCCCAGGGTAAGATGGCTGGTGAAGAGACTGGGCGGTTCAGATTCCTCCTTGACAGAGGCCAAGACCTCACTGCGGCAACGTGCTCGGTCGGCCTATGGCTGTCCACTGTCCACCAGATGTTTTTGTTTTTCCTTTTGCTGCTCGTGCAGGCTTTCAAACCTTGGACTGGCTCTCACAGTTGATCTTTATTAGTATTTTTGTCTTGTAAAATGGCACCACAGCAAAAGCCTACTGTGGCAACTACTCGTTCACCAAATAGGACTTTTCACAGGGTAGTTCCATTTCTGGATGTGATGTTGGAGCCCATCATACCTGATTTCTGGCCACAGTGCCCCATGTGATGATAGATTTCTCTTCCATCTGCTCCTGTTCCCTGTCCCTGGTTTCCTGTCATCTCAGTGACGTAGTTTCATTGGAAAATGAATCTCACAGAAGTTTGCATTTACTTTTATTACTTCCCATGTCCACTTGTTTATTTCATAGTGCCCCCATGTGCCATTGAAAAGGTACCTGGAAAATCATCTCTTAAAACTATAAGAGAAATGTGTAGTGTAGGGAACTGTGTGTTGAAATATGCAACTTTCCGGCACTGATGCTGGGGACAGTTAATAGGGTTGTGTGCTTTTCCAATGTGAAAAATGCAGCAGGATTTCCCTGGGATTTAGCAGAGCTGTTTCACTGTTGGTAGTAAATAGTTTATGTTAATAAATAGAAAAACCACAAAGTCAAATGAGAAAAAATGTAAAATAAAAATTAATAGGTACTAACATAATTTTTTTATAATGTCAATTTTTAGAGTTAATGAATTACATGATCCCATGTACCAGTACCGAGTTGACACTGGAAATTTTCAGGTAAGGATCATTCAGGAAGGTAAGGACTTTTTGTTTTAATGCTATTTTATAAAATTACTGAATTTTGTAACTTTAATCATGCTATTGACACAAGTTTACTAACCAGCTACATGGAAAAGACCATAGAAAGGTTGTCAGTGGAAAGTTTAGGAAAAACTAGGAAAAATAAAGTCTTTAAGACGATGTTTTTACTTCCAGTCCTTGGTTTGTGGTTATCAGGGTTGCGGCGGTGGTGGACGAGGCCACAGCCCTGTCACTGTGGCTCTCGCTGGTGGTCCTTCCCTCCTACTCAGGCAGCTGAGGAGCAGCCACCAGAGCTCACGAGCAAACAAGGTGGCCTGAGGCTATCGCCAAGGGGACACCATCACAGAGACATCTTGGGGGCTGAGGCAGCCAGTCTAGTCTGATCCTCTTATTTTACAGATGAGAAAATGAGTCACATGGGTTCTTTCAAGGCAGAAACAGAACCCCAGTGCCTGGTTTGCAGTCCTGGGGTGTGCCTCGATGTAAGAGGGGGTTTCTGGTGCCATGAGGACACTGAAGGATGGACGAGGAGAAGGGGCAGGGCCCACCCAGAGGGGAGCCCTGGAACCCCATTTGGGGGGGGCTGGGGGAGGGATGTCATGCAGCCCAGGCCCTGTCTACACCCCCACTGGAACCTGCCGCACCTTCCCCACCACAGCTTCAGAAGAGTGTTTTGTTTTCCTGTAACAAGGTCACAGAATTGTGTGCAGAGACCTAAGGTCTTCTAGAACATCTAATTCAAACCCCCCTTTCACAGATAAGAAAATCAAGTTCCCAAAAGGTTGGGACTCTCCCAAGGGTTCCCACAGTGCAGCTCTGGGCCCTTTCTTTTTATTTATTTATTATTTTTTTTTTTATTGAATAGTAACTATGTACATTAATGCACTTCTGGGGTACAGTGTGGGGTTTTCACACACAATCTGAAACACTTCCATCAAACTGGTTAACATAGCCTTCATGTCATTTTCTTAGTTATTATTTTAAAACATTCACATTCTACTCTTAGAAAGATTCTCTGGGCCCTTTCTTAGATGCAGGGCGGGCAGCCAGGCCCCCACCCCAGGGAGAGGGGCAGCAGCAGCTGCCACGGCTTATTGGCGCTGCCATGTTCCAGGACCTGTGCTGGGAGCATTCAGTGGTGGAGAGAGTTTGGGCTCTTTCTCACCTGATTCCCAAGGGGTAGGAGGTGTCATCTTGGGGGTGACCTGCTCTTTCTCATTCTGTGTCAGGGTTCGAAGTGCCCCATACAAATGGTCACACTTTTGCCTGTAGCGTTTGGGAGGAGAAGAGCACCCAGGCCCTCCTCCCACTCAGGTGCCACCTTGGTTCCTTCTAGGGAATGAAGATCTTCTTCCTGGTGGTGGCAGCTGTGTATATTTTATACCTTTTGTTCTTGATAGTGCGGGCATGTTCTGAGCTACGTCACATGCCTTATGTGGGTAAGTGCCCCTTTCAGAATCGCCCAGTGCAGGGTGGCTTGGCACTGACTTCACAGGGGGAGGAGGGCGGTGGCTGGAGTCTCCCAACCCTGGAGCCCTTTGGTCCCTGGGAGCCACAGCAGGCCTAAGTAGGCAACTCTGGCCTTTGGGATAGAAGTCTGTAGTCCCCTGGGTACCAGTGGGGCTGATACAGCATCCTGGGTCCTGCCGGAACTGCACCTTGCAGAGGGCCGGCCAGCTGTCGGTCTTGAGTTGGGGCCAGTCACCCTGACCTCATAAATTATTTCCCTGATCCTCATTGGACACCCTGGGTCCCAGGGAGGGGCCAGCAGTGCTGGGCTGCAGGCAAAGCAGCAATTCGGAATCCAGAGGGAAGAGGGATTTGTTTGGCAGGGATCTGCTTCATTTTTGCTTTTAAGATCTCTGAGACAGGTGGGGCACGGTGGCTGTAATCCTAGCTTTGGGGGTGCTGAGGCGGTGGATAGCTTGAGTTTATGGGTTCAAGACCAGCCTGAGCAAAAAGCGAGACCCTGACTCTACTATACTAAAAAAATAATAATAATAGAAGAATTGAGGTAAGAGGATTGCTTCAGCCCGAGTTGGAGGTTGCTGTGAGGTGTGATGCCACAGCACTCTACCCAAGGCAACAACTTGAGAATCTGTCTCAAAAAAAAAAGATCTCTGTGATGAGAGTGGAATTTATTTCGAAGATTTTTAACAAGAGTGTTTCTTTCTTTTTCAGATCTCAGGTTAAAATTTTTAACTGCATTGACTTTTGTAGTGCTGGTCATTAGGTAAGAAGGCTTTATTTCTTGAAAACAGCAAAACTGAATTTTTATTTCACTGTCATGAACATCTGTTCTCTCCTATGGAGAGAATTCCAGGAGCTTCTAGCATTAGGTCAGGGGCCCGTTACCATGGGTGGGCACTGAGAGTGTACACAGGCCCAGGAGCACATGTTTCTGTTGCCCGCATCCACTAGAGACAACCCCAGGGGAGTCCCTGCTTGCACTGCACCTGTCAGGTGTGCAGGATGCAGTCACCACGTCAGTCAGCAGACTGGGAGATGTAGGGAATGGGCACTGGGACCTTGCGATTCTCTTGGTGCTCTAAGTGTGAGTTAGGGCAAGTCTCGCTGAGCAGCACACAGGGTGGGCAGTGAGGGGCTGCAGCAGGATGGAGATGTGTGTCAGGGAGGAAGGCGTGACTGAAGGCCTCACTGTGGCAGGCCAGTGCCCAGCTGAGAGGGCCCCAGGCCTCTCTGGAGGTTGTTGGCGGTAGACCCAGATAGGCCTAGGAAGTAGTTTCTTGGAATAAATTCCAGATAATTGGTTATTTATGGTTTATCTATTTCTCTTAAAATCAGACTCCTGAAGGGGGAAAATCTATTAATAGTTTTCTATGAAACCAATTTACAATCACTCACACAAGCCTAGGATGAAGGAGGGAAGAGGAGGGAGAGGAGAAGGGAAGGAGGTGGGTCGATAGAGGGAGGGTTAGTAGGGAGACCAGACCTATGGAGCATATTGCAAGTACAAGTTGGATCTATCAGGTGTAGAACACAAAGGTCTTAATCCTGTAATTAGGTAAATGAGGTGAAGGCTATGTTGTTTAGTAGGATATAAGCACTCCAATTTGTACAAATAATCAACACATTGAATCCCATAATGGCATAAATGTATTTATGATGTATGTACAAATGACTTAATAAAAAAAATTAGTTTTCTAGATTTGCTTTTTGGTTGTTGGGCCAGTGTATAAGTGGTATCAGCCCTTTTCCTGGATGGGAGCCACGTGGGGCTTCTGCAGTTCTGGGGCCCCCGCTGTGTGGAGGGAGATGTCTGTGGGTGTCCAGGTCCATTCACTACCTCACGTGTGTGAATTCAGCTCCAACGTCTGTGTGGACTTGTCATTCAGCATCTAAATCCACTGAGAATAATAGTGTATGAATGTTTTAAGTAGTACTCTATCTCTATTCAGTGCTTGGTGCATATGAGGGTGGACAGTTAAGTTTGTAAACTCATCCTAGAAGAAGTTCTACAGACCTGATTGCTGGCCACCCTCAAGGCTCTCTCATGGGGAAGCCGTGGACCAACAGTGCCTTATCCTCCTTGCAAAGTACCTTTTTTAGGATGAGTTTAAGAACTTAATTGTCAGACCTTCTGTGTTGTCTCTATACCTTCTTGCGCGTGTGCACATGTATGAAACGTACCGTCCCGCATACCCTCGTACACACACTCAGTTATACACACCACACACACCCGTCATGCACACTCTGTCTTTCACACACCCTCACCCTGGAGCTGCCCAGCCCACGAGTGGGGAGCTACCATCTGTTCATAGTGACTTCTATACAGTCTGTACAGTCTGTCCTGGCTGTTGTCGTGCTTCCATCATCTTTCCTTGTAGGGTCTCTAGGGAGTTCATTTATTCATCCTACAAATGCTTAGCAAGCACCTGCGGCAGCCACAGGCTCCTCCCTGGTTTGGTAGTTCTGTTCCAGCAGGGGAGACATATTATAAACAAACAAATAGGCTAAGCGCCTTAAAAAGGGCGATGTGACAGTGGCAGAGGAAGTGGTCGCTTTCTGTGGGTGGGTGGGGAGCTGTCTCTGAGGGGGTGGTGTTTGGCTAGGGACCTGAGCAGTAGTAGCCCTGCAAAGCTATGGGGTGGCCATTCCAGGCCACAGCACTGCAGGGACAGCAGCCTGGGTAGGAGTGGGCCCTCTGAGTCAGAGAACAGCAGAGAAACAGCAGCGTCCAGGAGGGGGCTGGCCACAGGCATGGGCAGCAGGGGTGAGAGGTCAGAGTGGGCACTACAGGCCACCAAAAGAAGTCTGAGTTTTGCCCTCAGTGATGGGAGACCTCAGTGAGATGTTCAGCAGGGAGGTGAAGAATCTGGTTTACATTTTTATTAAAGCCAGAAAGGGTCTAAGTGTGGGAGCAGGCCATGGAGGGAGGTGGAAGGGGGTGCAGGTGGGAGGCTGTAGAGTTACAGGCAGAGCTGGTTGTGGCTCCAGAGGCCAGTGTTGTCAGAGCCCTCCACCGCAGCAGGCAGGAGTTTGAGCCTCAGGTGTCAGGGGCTGTGCGTGGTGCAGGGCCGTGCCCAATGAGGGGCGTATGAAGGAGGTGCAGGCTTCACTGGGGGACGTGCTGCTTTGTAGTAGTAGGAGACAGTCTTGAAAACAGGAGTGTGAGAAGGAAGGAGAACCGTGAGCAGGTGCTGTGGGGCCCCAGGAGAGAGTGTGGTTAGGGGCCCAGCCCTGCAGCTGGCTGGTGGTCGGTCCTCTAGGCCTAATGTCAGAAAACCAGAGGTGGAGGTTCTGTGTGTGTGCATGCAGTGCGTGCACATGTGTGCATGTAGATGTTTCCATGGTGAAATAATAATGAATAGGCTGCACTAGTCGGGTGAATAAAACAGATCACATAGGCTCCGAGTCTTGTCTTGGCATATGTTTACATGTCGTCTTCTGCCTTTCTTTTTCCAGCATTGTCATCCTTTATTTAAGATTTGGAGCACAAGTGTTGCAAGACAATTTTGTTGCAGAACTGTCAGCGCACTACCAGAATTATATCCTTTGACTTGGAGGTGCCCAGGCTGCAGGAGTGTCTGCAGCCTGCCCAGGTCTGAGCCTGAGAGGGGACAGGCCAACGGCTCATGCCTCGTGCTGGAGGCCTGCCTCTGCTGAGAGGTGCCTCCTGCTCTCCCTTGGGGCAGGGGGAGCTCTGCCACACTCCTCTGTGGGCAAGAAGCTCAGGCGCGGCAGGGCTAGCCAGGTCCTCAAGATCTGTTACTAGGCAGCAGAGGCCGACCCAAACCTGGGTGGGCCAGCGCTCTGGAACCATCTCCACACTATGCTGCTCCCCACCCACGCTGCTCTGTGCAGATAGATGAAGTGCTGTCTACGGTACCTGCGCCTCCCAGTGCACCCTGTCCTCTTGCATGTATGACAGGGGATGTATATATGTATCCCCTTGATAATATGGGCACAGTTAGGGCATTAATCCTTTACGTCCTAGGTTCTTACCTTGGGACCTCTTATGTCCTTAACGCATGATTTTTCAATTTTTTGTGGCTAAATTTCACACTAAACTTTAACCATATTCTCAAAGGAGTCTATAATCTGAAAGATCAGGAGTGATCTTCCAAAAAAAGATCAAGTTGATCAGCACAAGCAGAGCTTGTTTCCGATGTTTTATTTTGTTTGCCTAGACAGCTTAGTTTTCGGCACGCTGGTGGCTTTCCTGCCCTGCACATGTGACTTGATCCTGTCTGGCCCTGCCTCAGTGCCAGTGAGAGCCCTGCCCCTGAGGTCTCAGTGGATCAGGTTCTCACTGATATTCGAGGTCGGAGTTCACATGTTGCTTCCTGTGATCTTGAAGGCTTATTGTGACCTCTTGCCGTGGAATTGGACCGTGGATGCCTGGCATCTGGGTTACAGACCCCTGGGCTCTAGTTGGCGGTTACCAGTAGGAAGGGCCACTGATGATTGGGAGGAACAGTCAGGCTGGGAGCAGCGAAGCCATCTGCTTTGCCCAGACATGGTGTTCCTTCCCTTGACTGGCAGCACCAGCTGAGTTCTTATCTTTTTATGGCCTGTTGAACTTTTATCTCTACACCTTGGCCTTTGTGTATTCCCCATCAAAGAATGCTCTCTATGGTAAGCCACCCTGGGGTCTGGGTTGCTGGCCAGGTAGCTGACACAGGGTTTCCCCTTAATGAGCTGCCCCATGGGCAGGGAGAGACGAGGAATGTTTAAATGGCGAGTTCTATGTTTAGACAGAGCACAGCATACATTGAACCTGTTCATGTCAAACACATGATAAGCGTTAATTTTGTTAGTGTGTCCTAGCACAAGCAGTGTGTCCATCACCTGTATGGAATAGTCTGCTGAATGTAGATAGTCCCAACTTATGATGCATAGGAATTTTTGATTTTACAGTGGTACAAAAGTAATATGCATTCAGGAGAAACCACTGAGTACTCATACAGCCCTCCTGGTTTTCACTTTCAGTACAGTATTCAATAAATTATGTGAGATATTCTGTGCTCTGTGTTGGGTGGTTTTGCCCAACTGTAAGCTAATGTAAGTATTCTGAGCACATTAGCTATGATATTTGGTAGGTTGGGTGTATTAAATGCAGTTTCAACTTGCGATGTTTTTGACCTATGATGGGTTTATTAGAATATAACCCCATCGTATACAGAAGCATCTGTACTGTTGTGGCCATTCACAGGATAGCCAGAACATACCAGAAAACCTCAAAACCAAAACAAAAACACCCTCAAATCCCTAGACAACCCTCTTGCACAGAGAGTGGAGAGGATGGGGACTCCAGAGAAGAGGCAGTCCTATGAAAGTGGAGCTTTCAGAGCACCCTCACGAACAGGGTTGCATCCAAGCTTCACAACAACTGTACGATAAAGGTGTCGTTACTCCCATTGTACAGATGAAGGAACTTAGAAGCAGCTGCAGGTCTAAGGACTGGGCAGGAACAGGCAGGGCGAATCTGCGCTGCCCGGGGCCTGTTTTCTGTCCCCTGCTCCCTGTGTGGATAGGATGCAGGCACGTGGGTGCACCAGCTCTCTGCTCTTGCTGCGGGCTGCCTGGCTCCGTCTTCACAGTGTCCCTGCCCAGCAGGCCCTGCTCGCCCTGTGCTGTGGATCAGAAAGTGAACTCCTAAGCTGCTTTGTTCGGGTTCACACAGAGAGTGGTAGAATTTGGAGTTTGAATCCAGCTCTTTCTGGCTCCTGTCCTCTCCAGGCTAATAATGTAATGATTGCTTTTGTTGGTTTTCAGAGTCCCAGCTGAAAGATAATCCTGCATTTTCCATGTTGAACGACTCCGATGATGATGTGATTTATGGGTGAGTTGCTATCCCCCCCGGGCGCTCTAGTCTGGCCTTGTGTGTTTATGTTTACCAAATGAGTTATGTGTCTAAAGTGATTTTCAAGACGTAACATTTGCCTGGGAGTGTCACGTGATTTGTTGTTTTCTGTGTCCACAATACACGGGCTTAGATGTAGTGATATCTTCTTTGCTAAATACCCGCAGTATGTGGTGAGTGCAGGAAGGACAGCTCTTTCTGTACTGGGGGGCCCTGGTGATTGGGGGAGGAGGGGGCAGGGATGGTAGGACTGCTTGGCAATAAGAGATTGTGAGTGAAGCTAGGAAGTGAGTTGCTGCAGTGGTGTGTCAGTGTGACAGAAAAGAATAGCTGAAGATCTGTCAAAAGTCAAATGGTATCAAAGTTCTCTTTTGTAACAGGAGTGACTATGAAGAAATGCCTCTGCAGAACGGCCAGGCCATTCGGGCCAAGTACAAGGAGGAGTCCGACAGTGACTGAGCTCGTGGCGGGGCGGCCAGGTGGCTCAGTGCCTGGACCTTCTCCTTGGGTGCCCACTCCTGCCCTTCCCCATACCTGTCTATGTACATCTAGACCTCCTTGTGAGCAAAGATCTCTTGATCCTTATTTGTTTACATGTTCTTAAAAGGAAAACCAAAACTGAGGGCAAATTTAAATGTCGGGCCAAATTTCTAGTCAAGGTGGCTACATTTATTTGGGAAGAAAGGCGTGGATAAAGTTTATAAACAGCCAAATGCTTTTTAGAACATTTCAGATAAGAGCATGTTTTCGGTGGTGGGGAGGAAATTGCCTTGTTCAGTGAGTGAACTAGGTACTTTCTTTTCACTCATTCACTAGTTCCAAGTGCATTGGCATCCCTTGTTTCCCTTTCTTGCCTTCCCCTTGCTATCTTTTTTTTGACTGAGGAAGCCTATTTCTGTGGCTTCAGGGGTGCAGTCCTTCCTCGGGGAGTGGCGTCTGAATGAGTTGGTAATTTGGAATCACTGTGGATTTGCGAAGCATGTAAAGTGTGATTTACCTGGGGAATGGTGGGTGGCCAGGTTCCAGTCCTTCACTGTCACCAAAGCAGAAGTAATAGCCTGGAGCTCTGAGGAGGATTTGGTAAGTTGAATAGGAAAAGGCTAAGATAATCAAGAAGCTACTGGCTCCTGTGAGGAAGGATTTGTTGCCTTGGTGTTATGGTTGGGGTGGGCAGGAGGGGAGCTGTTACCATGCCAATAAATAGCAGTTTCTGCAACTTCTGAATAAGAAACCCCATAGAGATTTATTTTTTTAATAAGAATTAAAGGAATGATTTATAAAATATTATAGGTTCTTAATTGCCAAAAAGTTTTTAACTTCACTTTTGGAAATAAGATGAAAAGTAAGTAAAACATCTTAAGCCATTTGGCTTATGGAGAAACATCATTGGGTAGAAACTAACGTTTTTGGAAATCATTCCCTTCCCTCCCTGAACCACACGAGTAAGGTAAGCACAGGACTTGCCCTCTGGAAAAGTCTTTGGCACCGCATAATCTGTGGCGTCATAGAGGCCCTGGAGCTGTGGTTCTCAACCTTCCTAATGCTGCGACCCTTTAATACAGTTCCTCATGTTGTGGTGACCCCCAACCAAAAAATTATTTTCATTGCGACTTTATAACTGTAATTTTGCTACTGTTATGAATCGTAACGTAAATATCTGATATGCAGGATGGTCTGAGGCAACCTCCATGAAAGGGTCGTTCTACCCTCAAAGGGGTTGTGACCCACAGGTTAAGAACCACTGCTCTGGAGAGTCCCAATTCCTTTTACTCAGGGACTCATTAGAGAGGTGGGGTGTAGATGTCTCCTTTGCTTTTCCCTTGACATGTGTAGTAACATCTATAACTATTAATATACAGTTGTAGCCAACCTGACTGATGCCATCTGGGCCAAAAGAGGGGGGTTTGCACTCTGCAGGCCGAACCTCCATCCTCATCTATGCATTGGCTCTCAGATAACCGTTCAGAGCCACAAGTTACTGTCCACTGCGGTAGTGCTGGGACCTTCAAGTTGTTCATGGAAGACTATTCATTATGACTTCACATCTGTCTTTTTAATTTAAACTTCAATAATGTACCTATAATATGGATTTTATTCACATTTGTTTTTTAAAAACCTTGTAAATAGGAATGTTTGGATTAAAACAACTATTACTGCAATGATAATTCAAGGTTTACATGATTTCTATATTTGTAATGAATGATGTAATGACATTTTTGATTCTGTGTAGAGGCATTGAAAAAATTTTCTGTTACCAAATTTTACAACTTCTACTACTTTATAATTTTTTGTAAACTGATGAAGATTTGTGCTGATTAACATATTCTAGTATGTGATAGAGTTTATAAGTTTTAATCATTATAAAGTAGTGTTCATTATTTGGAATGCTGTTATTTATCAGTAAATGTAAAATAGTTGAGGCATTTAGCCATATACACAATAGAACTTTTTAGAACTTGTCTTTGTCCTATGATGTAATTATAAACTGACGGCTAGTATCTTCATGCATTAATTCTTCATGGCACCATGAAATGAAAAATACGGGATTATTTACTTTTTGTAACTAAGTTGTAAACAAAATTACATCAAAAGTACTTAAGGGAAAATGGTTCCTGGTGTATCATAAGTACTAACATATTCCATACTCCATGTAAAAGTTTGCTTAAAGTATATAGCATTTAGCATGTAGAGTATGTGCCACAGATACTAGGTGAAAACACTAAAGTCTGCCAGAAGCTTTTGACAGTAGCGAGAAAATTGTTCTTGAGGGTATTAAAGTTCCGCAAACCTACATTATGAATTCCCAGGGCTGACTTTAGTTCTTTCATGGGAACAGTTTGAAACCTCATCTTTGGGATATTTTTGATACGGGTCCAGTCTGGGGCAACCTGGAAGATGACCAGAGGGTTTCACTTTCCCTAGGGAGAGCTTCATTATCCATGTGCGTAATCACAGGCCCACTCGGTTTACTACTGAATCATTGTAACAGAGCAGTGGTGCCTTCTCTCAAGCCCCAGTGAAAGGTGAGAGGAGATTTATAAAAATACATTCAAAGTTGTAAGATGATTATGGCACATAGTTATAGATTGCAACAAAAGCTTAGATACATTATGTAAACCCAATCTGCTAAATGGGCAGGTTACAAAGACAAATGTCATCAGCTTTAAGTATTTTTAACTATTTACTGAAGGGGCAAGTATGTTGTGTGGTAACTTAGTTCCTGAATCCTTTTCACAGAAAATACAGATGCTCATAAAAGGGATAAAGACAAGTCTCTAAGAACATTTATAGTAAAGACTAGACTTAAAACACTAAAGTGAATTTATATTCTGAGGGTTTTAGAAACCAGTTGCCTTAGCGGTTGTATTTTTGAAAAAAAGATACACATCTTTTTCCCAGGTCAAAGGGAGTTAACTGTTGTCTGTGGCATCTTGTTATGCTGTTTATTTTTGCTTGATTTTTTTTGAGAGAGAGAGTTTCATTTGTTGCTCTCAGTAGAGTGCCGTGATGTCATAGTTCATAGCAACCTCAAACTGTTGGGCTCAAGTGATTCTCTTGCCTCAGCCTCCTGAGTAGCTGGGACTACAGGCGCCCGCCACAACACTTGGCTTTTTTTTTTTTTTTTTTAAAGAGGCGAGGCTTTGCTCTTGCTCAGGCTGGCCTCCAAGCCCTGAGCTCAGGCAATACACCCACCTCAGCTTCCAGAGTGCTGGGATTACAGGTGAGAGCCACTGTGCCTGGCCTGGTTTGATGTTTTAAATATATTGTTAAGTATAATACCCACACTAGGAAACAGCAGGATTTGCTGCTACAGAAAACTGCCTTTTTAACAAAAGACTGTAGATAGTTGTAAAATAAAACAACACTAAACTTTAAGGTTAAAAGGGAAGGTAGAGCTATGTATTGAACTGTAGGACTGTGTCATAGAGCACAGTGCTGGGCATAGAGTGGGCACTGTAATTAGGCAAAGTGAGTATTTATGGGAAACTCATGTTTTGGGAATGGCTTCTTTTTAACACTAACTTTCTGATGTTAATAAATTTTTAATATTCAGGTCTTACGTGGATCTTGATTTGTTTGCTGTTTGCATGTGGAGTTAATTTGGCCTATCAGACATGAGTGCTTTAATAAAAGGTCTTTAAGAGGCAAGAGCGGGGCTTTTTTTATTTCAGCAAGTAGACATGGAAATGTCTTTATTACCCCATCTGTATGGCCTGGGGAAAAGTGCTGAAGACCGACCCCAATTTGGACCTACCTCCCTACTTACTGGATGTGTGACTTCAAACCCATCTGATAACCTCCAAACACATTTTTCTGATTTTAAATAACTGTGTAATTGTTGTGGACACAAAATGAATTATTGTGAAACCTTTGTAAGCCACAAAGCACCAAAAGTTTATGGCTTACAAATCAAAATTAGTAATTTGTTGATTGTGACTGAAAAATAGCAGGGGATTAAAAGTTGTGATGCTACAGCTTTGGGCCAAGAGTGTGCATTAGAGCTCTCTGGCTAAAGCAACAGAGATTGGCTTGCCTACCCTCTCCCACCACACCTTCACCTCTAGAAGGGGGGTGCTAGGAACAAAGAGTGTGATGCCCAGGGGTAAGAATCTGGACCCCAGCAGAGCTGTCAGAATCCCAGTCTGACTGGTTAAAGGGTACATGATCATGCTGAGAGGACCAAAGCAGACTTGTCTTAGTTTTACAGACGCTGAAGTCACTAACTAAATGTGAAAAATTCATTTATGATACTATATAAATCATGAAGAACACAGCAAATTTGAATAATTTATTCTAACAAAAGTATAAAGTATGGAAAATCAGTGTATTTGAATCAGTTCAGAGAGTAGAGCAAGTTTCACATTAGCAGATTGTAATTTTTAGCACCTTTGAAAAGAAATATTCAGAGTTAAGACAAGTGGCAACACAGGCTTCAGACTACCTACTGCAAATGATCTGTGTGACTACGGTGTACAGTTACACAACAGTGCAGCCATTTGGTTTCTTTTCTCTACATTTTGAGAGTGCCATGAAACACGCTTAAAGAAAACAAAGTGTTTGAATTCATGGTTGGTGGTTAGAAGGTGGAACAGAAATGTTGAGACAAAGGAGAAAGGTCACAGGCTGGACAAGGTCAGATGGACAGTCCAAAGGTGCTGACGATGCAGTACATGGTCTTGTTCTCCCATCGCACGGTGCAGCTCCCTGGGGGGATGACAGAGCAGCACGTAAGGGAGGAAAACTGGGGGACATGCCCTTCCAATTTCTCACACTAAGGCTAATAATCAAGTACCAACCTCTCTGAGGCACATGAAGAAGGGTAGGAAGTCTCTAGTATAAAAGTTGTTTTAAAATGTTACCATTAAACATACAAAGACATGAACCCCCAAGCACATATTTCATAAAACCTTTTAAATAATACACATCATAGCATGGTCCCAGAAGGTACCTGAAAACATTCAGAGAAGATACACATGACTAAACTTGACCACAGATGTTTTGAAAGCATACCGTCAGTAGAGCTGTCCCAGAAGCAGGAGCTTGCTGTGTGAAGTCCGGCCCCATTCTTCTGCATGATTACACAGGTCACTTAAATTAAAACAAACTTATTACAGAAATCTACTTGGCAGCATGGATGTCATTTTGCCCACTTTTAGCATGTATGTGTGGGTCACACAGTTGATTTTTATGATAAAAATCACAGGAGTAGATTGCCTTGCCCCACCACAGTGACAAATTACAGATGCTCCCTAACTTGCAATGGGGTTACATCCCAATAAACCTATTATAAGTCAAAAATGTAAGTTGAAAATGCAATTAACACCTCGATAAACCCAGTGTTAAGTAAAAACTTTGGTGGTTTTGTTTTTGTTTTGAGACTGTCTCTGTTGCCCTGGGTAGCGTAGTGTGCTATGGTGTCATCATAGTTCACAGCAACCTCAAACTCTTAGGTTCAAGCAATCCTCTTGCATCAGCCTCTTGAGTAGCTAGGGCTACAAGTGTGCACTAGCACCCCCAGCTTATTTTTCTATTTTAGTAAAGACGAGGTCTTACTCTTGCTCAGGCTAGTCTCAAATCCTGAGCTCAGGCAATTCACCCATGTTGGCCTCCCAGAGTGCTGGCCTTATGGGCATGAACTACCCACACCTGGCTGTAAAGTCAAAAATTTATAAGTCAAATCACCATAAGTTGGGGACCTTTCCCTTCCTTTACCACTTAACTTGTTCTAAA